TTGGGTCAGGGAGAGAAATCAGAAAACTGCTTTAAGACCAACCAGAATTTTAAAGAGATGAATATAGTTTCATAGTTAGCATATGATTTGGTTTTATAATCATAAAAGACAAAATTGAACCTAGAGTGTGAGTGACAAAGGTATGGATAAATATGCGTTTCGATAGATTTACATTTGCGTATATGGTAGATATAAGTCCCTATAGATATAATTATAGAAAGATTAAAATATTTAGCAATAAATTTTTTATATATTTTTATAGTTATAAATAATATAATACTTTGTTATAAACCATTCACTCTTTTCAATTAGCATTAAACGTGTAATTTGTGATCGAAGTTCATACTTTAATATATGTGCATGATTGGAATATTTTGAATATTCCATTGAGGGATTTCACAATAATTAAGACAAATAACTCTCTTCTAATCGTGAGCTTATGCTATTGAAAACCTGCTTCCATACAGCTTATTATCAAATCATAAAAATCATTTAGCACAAAGCGTTTGCCTAGCGTCGCAGTCGCAGTCGCAGTCGCAGTCGCCGTCGTTGTCGCCGTTTCGCTGTCTGCGTCACAGTCGGCGCCGCAGTCGAGGTCTCTATTTAGCATATCTGGAATTGGTGACGTCGTCAATTCGCCTATTTGAAATTCTGGTTTGCCTTAGTTTCGCTAGTGGCTGTGGCTGTGGCTGTGACTGCGGCTGCGGCTGTTGGTGTTCGATATCATATTGGATACCCTACGACCGTATAAAATGGTTATGAAAGGCTACGATGGTGTTGTTGTCTATATATTGGTAATTGAGATAGCAGAAGGCTCAACAAATTACCCAAAATATTCCATCAGTGCATAACATGAGAAACGAAGCTCTCTTTTTTAAGCGACCCATGGCTTGGTTTAGGGTATATTTTAGTCGCTGATTCGCAAACTTTTCCCTCTATTCATTTTACAATTCAGCTTTTTTTGCACCCTGAATCGAAATTGTTTCTTCTATTTTTTCTTCTTTGCACAAAAAACAATATTTTTGTTCTGCAGCCAGGGGCCGGGTATGTGGGCGGTGGGCGTTGATAGGTGGGTGGCGGTTAGGGGCGTGTCGATTGCCGCTTGATTTGCTGCGCCCTTGCCTTTTGTATCAGTGCCTCGTTTATTATTTATTTATTTATGCGCATAAATTAAAATAATTTTTGTTGTTGTGCCATTTTCTTGGAAGCACAAAGAAAATTTTTGCAGTTCTTGTGAAAATGTTCGGCAATTGGTAAATAAATGCGTTATTGATAGGCAATTGACTGGCAGCTGATGTTGCTATTGTAGAGTATGCCATGTTGGCCGCTCGAATGGCTGCATACTTTTGGGCGTGGCATTGTAAATCGCATCAGCAAGTGGACAGCGCCGGACAGGTCACAAATCCGTCTTTTATTCGGGGCTTTAAAGATTAAAGAGTATGTATATATACATTTTTTCGCTTTGTTCGTTTTGTTACCTTCAAAAAGGCGGCAAAACTTTTGCAACTTCACAAAATGCTGCACATTAAGAATTAATAAATAAAAAAGACAATTTAAAGTTGGGACTCTTGGCATTTTTCAAGGAACAGGCTTCAGCTGACAGCAGCACGCGCCAAACTCAGCCCGTAACGCGTGACGCGTAACGCGACTTGTCTGTAAAAAGTTTCTAATGAAAACTGCCTAGTACATACATACATATATATATATACATATATACAATTATATATGGACGAATATGTATCAAGTGTATGCCTCTATATAGTAGCCCCCGCAGCTGCCAACTTGTCAGCAAAAGTTTTGCGCAACTTTGGCAACATTTCTGGGCTCAGCAACGTATTTCTTATTAAATTAAGCGTTTCCTCCATGGAAGCCCATGGAAGGGCAACGGATGGGTTGTCCAACTGTTGCGCAGCGGGTCGGTCGCCCATTTGAATTTTGCGCTTTGTAATTAGCCACTGCCCCACGGCGATGTGGCGGAAAATGTGAAGGTGCCTGAAATTAACTGCGTACTGTAGAATTTGATTTAAAGCGTGGCAATCAAATGGGCATCGCTGTCGCTAACGCAATCGCAATCGCAATGGCAATCGATAGAGACAGTGTTGTGCAACGCATAAATCAAGCAAATGACAGAGGATGGACAGCGGGCATAGGACATAGGGCTGGTTGGCTTGGTATTACAGGCCCACTACATATGCCCACTCGAGGCACGCCCACTTTGGGGGCAAACGGCGCGCAAACAATGGCGGCTAACAGTGTTTGAATGGGCTAGCCAAGAGGGGCACGGAAGGAGGAGTAGCCAACAGCCGGGCAGAATGAGTATGAGCAACCAGAGATGACTGCCCATGAGTGCATGGGACAGCAGCAGATGAATAGAGGGGAGCTGGAGTAGCGGCTACCAGGGATACTGGACACGGGGCATTGGGCAGGCAATGAGCAAGATCAAGAGCTGCCGCTGCGTAGAACAATGGCTGGTGGGCCACTGGCAGCGGGGCTAGCTGCAGCAATTGAACTGTGTGGACAGCTGCTTTGTGAGCGACACTTTTGACTTATGTGACAGCTGCTGCTGGCCTCTGTTAATGGCGGCTCACTGAAATGAGCTGCTGCTGCTGCTGCTGCTGCTGCTGAGGAGTCGCACTGGCAACAGCTGTTCGCTGCCTAGGATTTGTGTGCCGCTGAGATGAATGAATATGAAAGTAGGCTACACAAAAGTCTATTCAAATGAAGTTCATGTAGCAGGCACAAAGCATACAAAAAAACAAAACAGTTTATCAATGCTCCATATCGGGACTGTAAGGGCTAATACTGGCTATAAATGGATTTCCAACTGAGGAGAGCTTAACTAAAGGAAATGCTGTAAAGGCGCTAAGCAAATTTGTAAATCGTAATTGCAAAATTCTACTTGAGTTGACTCAGTTTTTTTAAGAACTTGGTGTTGCTTAGAGATCTAACCGGAATGCTTCAAATGTACTCCACGTATATATTAAATATATGGTAGCATCTACACTGTATCAATATAATAAAATCAATAAAATTGGGCTTGTTATTTTAGCAAAAATTTGCATAGCTTAAAAGAATTTTTAACACTCTCCCATATATCATTTGATTTTCAAGCTTTTGAATTCATATGACTTAAGGCAGTAAAGGATTTGTCAGATGACAGATTGGATTGTAGGTCGTAAAACTTTTGAAATGCTAAGCAAATTGCAATGGTCTTCATATAAGCCACGCCCCCTCTCTTTCTGTCTTCAGTCGGTCGCTGCCAGCTTTCTGACCATGGGAATTGCCAATTTATATGCAAAGTTAACATAATACTTGAAATATTTGCAAGCAAAAGGTAAATGTCACAAGTGAAAAAGGCTAAGCTCAAGCAAAAGTCTACCCGAAAAAAGGAAAGAACAAAATGGAATGTGGAAATATTTGTAAAATTTATATTTTGAATACAAAATGACTGTTGTTGATGCTGTTGTTGTTGTTGTTGTTGTTGTTGTTGTTGTTGTTATGTCCATATGGCCACAGGGCCTTTTGAGTTCAGGATTTGGTTGGGTAAACAAGAGCGGTCTCCACTTGGTATTCCCTCTCTTTCCCTCACTTTATTCTTTTTTTCTCTCTCTCTCTCTCTCTGGAGTGATTCAACACGTGGCTAGGTTCCTTTCGACTAATTTACACGCAAAACAGCTGCCACAGCTTGTGGTGTGTAATTAAAGGGAAATTGTAACGCGTGCCACGGCGCACTGTGAACGTGTCAAATGACAGACGCCATTTAATAAGAGAGTAATATAAAAATATATATGTATGTATATAGAAGAATGCTCAAAATATGTGTGCCAAAATGCAAAATGTCGAGCGTAAATAGAACGAAGCGTGGCCGACACATGGCATCACGTATACGCAGCGTATGACGCGCAATGAGATGAGCTGCCACGCTCAGCGCTTTACTTGCCATTATTATTTGCGTTTGTTTAATTAAAAGTTTCACTCACTCGGACTAAATCAATTGCACATAAATTCAGCTGCAGCGCCGCAGAGCTGGGGGAAAATGTGCCAAGCCAAAAGTTTCAATGGCTTTTAATTACGAAGCAAACAAAAAGCTGGGATATCCAGTTGAAAGCATTTTGAAGGCGATTCGACGTGGCCACAAAATAAATGCGTCTGAATCAATGGGCGGTCGGATTAAATGTGGGCGCGGCACACACACACAAAGAAGAGTGCGGCCAAAGCCTTAAGAGGGCAACTCGTATGAAAGGTTCTTTAAAAGTGCAAAGCTGGCAACTCTTGGCAATTGATTGACTAAAGAACTGAACTGGCGAATTATTTCAAATTGTTATCAATTCAATGGCTCTGAAAGTATACAGACAAATTAAATGAATTTGTGCTCTTATTTATTCAGAATGCAGTTTAATGAAAATTATGAATTAGAAAAAGTTTCAAAAGTATAACTTTGATTTTAATATAATTTAAGTTGCATCTTTTGTTAACCACTTATTTTAACACTTGAATGCTTTAAATGCTAACGCTTGTCTTCTTAAAGGCAAGTGTTTCTATTCTTCTATTTAATTATCAAAATAAATGTTCAAGCATAAGAAAAATGAAGTTCAATGATAGAGCCCCTTGTGATTGGAAATCACGCGAATAACATTAGGTGTTAATGAAAATGAATGATTACAAGTAGAATTTTTTGATTAATAATACAAATAATACTAATTCTTATCAGAGAAGAGCACCGCTTTCGCATTAAAGAAAATTTGTATTTCGTATAGAGTTCGACTAAAAAAGAAAATATGCATATTTTGAAGTGTTTGTGAGGGAACCTGGCACCCAAATTTCAAATATACACAGTTGGAAATATCAGCAATACATTTCTAGTTACATTCAGAAGAATAATTTTACTTAAATTTAATCTTTATTACACTTTAGCAGCTTTGTTTCAGTTTCGTTCACTCATTTCATATTTAAAGCAAAATCGATATCTTCAAATGACACACAGTCTCAACGATGATTCCGTTTCATATGTATGTTCATTAGTAAGTGATACAATATATTTGCCGATAAAAATTTCAATTAAAATCAAGCAAAATATTACTAAATATAAATATTTTTCTCTTCTCTCTAGGTGATTCTCTCCTTGACCAACATTCTGTAATCCGGCGCATGCCGCACGGCACTTGGCTGGGATAACTCGGTTGCAACAGCGACTTATCAAACGGAAAAGTGAAACACTGCAGCTGGACGCCGCAAGATGAAGGCAAGCTGTTATGTCATTTTGTGGCTAACTTTAGAATAGCAAGAGAATACAAAACTATTTTTAGATGTCAGATCTTGCCCCTTCCTTTCGATGGGCCCCAGCCAGAGCTTTGGAACGAGTTGTAGCTGAAATGACAGTTTACATTTCAGAGTTTTTGTGGCGTGTGGTAAGTGGCAAATAGATTCATTAATACCATGTTGAGTGCAAATTAATTAGCGCTCCAATTGTGCGCCCGGTACGTTGGTCACTAATCCAATCATTTCCAGCTCAACGCCCAGCCCAGACGAATTTCGTCTAGTCATGTGCGTTAATTATTCTGCCAGATGTGTGACTGTGTTGAGGTGTATGACTATGACTGTGTGTGTGCTTGTTTGTGGCATTTAATTGCAAACGCTCTACGAAAGTGTCCAAAACAAGGGCAGGTAAAGCAAAGAAATAAGGAAAAAAAAAAAAACAGAATAGGCTTGAGGCAGGCTCTGAATATGCTATCAGTAAACAAAATGGAAAAGTTTTTCCAGCTGCTGCAGGCGATATGAAAATAAATACAACAAAATTTGTAAAACCAACAGCAAAAATAATAACAACAACAACAGCAAGAGCATAATGAAAAGGCAAAGCAGAAGAAGCAGAGCAAAGAGAAAAGCCAAGCAAACAACAGCTCAAAAAGTAGGCAATACAAAAGGCTTTCATTGTTTATGTGCAAGGCGGCTTAAGTTGGGTGGCATTTATAAGGTTTTTACGGCATCTTATTGTTAGATAGATAGGAATACCGAAAAACAGAAGTATTGTAACTGCTTATTAGAAAGATATCATATATGCGCTGTAACTTCCCAGAACTGGGAGACTTACATAAGCTAGCCTAGCTGATATTAACTATATTATTGAATTTCTGATAATAAAATCCAATACATTTTTTGTTAAAGCTGAAAAAAGAAAAGAAAATGATATAGAATCCTAACTTTTATATATGTGCCCAAACAAATTTTAAAGTGATTCAGGTCTGCATTCTGGAATTTGGAATACTTTTATGATTTGATATTCATTCATTAATATAAATACGTAACCCTTCAAATCTTATAAACAAACCTTGTGTATTCCCTGTTGGGTAGCTTATTACCATTTCCTATATTGTATTGACACCACGTATTCTTAATCCACGATTATTTCTAGCATTTCTCTACCTTTGACAGCTTTAATATCCCATGCACCCATCCACTGAATCCTTTGTGTCCCTTTTTAAAAGTTACGTACTCTTCTTCTTTTTTTCGTTTTTTGTTTTTGTTATATTCTGAGGCAGTTTAACGGCACTTCGTCGCTAAACAAAACGACAAAAGGCAAGTGCTGAGATAAACAGTAAGACAAAAGAGACGCCAAATCGTGAGGCACTCGAGCAGAGAGCGTAAAGTAAACGCTTGGGCAACAGCTGCTTGACTTCGTGCGGCATGTGGCGTGCGGCATGTGGCATGTGGCATGTGCTTAGCCTTGTTTGCATGTGTCTGTCCCGTCTCTGCCCTTGTCAGCTGTCTCTCTTGCTCCCTGTATCTGAGTGCTGCCTTCATAATTTCCATTTTTTCCGTTTATTTTTGCTTTGCTCTTTAGGTCGAAGTTCAAGCGTTGCAAATTAAGCGCAAAAAGCGAGTACAAAATGCCTAAAAGCGTCAGCGTTTAAGATAAACAGAAATACAAGAAAGCAAATGGACAAACCAAGTAATTAAGTACACATCAACCCAACACCGGCCACTCAGCACAAAAATATGCTAATGGGAATATTATATTTAAATACCCTATGCGCATAGATAATTGATCAAGTGGGGTATATTGCCAAGCCACAGTCGATTAAGTAATATTTTTTTTAATCTATCCTAAGCTGAATAGAGTTTACAATATACATAAATAGATTTATATCGATACCTAATCCTCAATACATCAGATAACATTTCAGCTTAGCCATATTTAGCACTTTCAGTACAAAAATTGAAAGTAAAGATGAGTATAGGATATCTCCTAGCAGTTCTCTCTGGCAGTAACCGCAATCTTACTTATTTCATTCTTGCTACACTTTACAATATTCGCACAGAGTCTCATTATAATTATCTTTCATGCTGCTCGGAAGGAGGGGCGCTCCAGGAGAGTGCTACTCATCATAATTTGCTGCCTGTTGCTGTGCCTGGCGCTTGTCTATGCCCAAGCTCTTCTGGCCAAGAGGTAGGCCTTTCTATATTTGATTCAGCTCGCGTGTTTTTGGGCCTAAATGTGCCTGCTTATGCGTCGCGTTTAGCACATCGTTACCTGCGTTTAAGTGGTAAACAGTTTGGCTGTGAGTGGAGGGGCAACGGTCGGCATGCCAGCCAGCCGAGCAATCAATATGAAGCACCGACTAAAGCTTTGGCTATGGTACCGTTAAACAACCATTTAAGAAGTAATTTTTACAAAAACAAAAATTGTTGATACGCTGTGACTGCTATTTACAGCAGTTAATGCGATATGAACAGCATTTTCTATAGATGGACTCATGGTTTAAGTGCTTTCTCTCGACTGTGGATTTGAGGTAGGTGAGACTTGTTTGAGAACTGAACATCTGAACACTTGAGATACTATTCATGTCGTTGCAATAAAGTTTGTATCTTAATCTAAGATATTGTATTTTGAATAAGCACCAAATAGCCGTAGAAGCTTTTCTAGTGTCAAAGTGTTATATATGTAGATAATTTTTAATAAATAATATATACATATATGCATCTACGTATATAATTAAACAACATTATTTTAAGATCGAATATCATACAATGTCATGATTTAGAAATATCTGTAAATGTAATTGTTTGTTCATTATCTAACAGCACAAAATTATAGACTGACTGAATGGTAACTAGATTGCAGGAAAGGAAATAAATAAAAGATATTATTCTTTTCTCTTATGATATATTTTTAAATTCATACTGACTTTAAGAATATCATCTGTCGTTGTCATGTCTTTAATATACTAAATTTAGTAACTTTCTCCTTCTGCATATATGTATGTATATCAGATTCAAATCCGCCACGATTTGCCCATATCATTTATCGTTTGATTCGAAATTGCGCATATGTATATGTGATAAATATTTATAATCGCTCGCTATATGAGTATGTCACTCAGTTCATCATAGCCTCCCCATATCGCCCCTCGCAGCCCACCTTCTTCTCCTTTTCATTGAATCATGCTGCCTCGATTGACTTCTGTAACGGCAGAGCTAACATAAAATCAATAAAGTCGTTTTAGAGCTCATTGAATCGTTAAAGGACAAACAACGTACCAATGACTTATAAATACTTACACACTGTAACACACACACTCACACACACATACATATACACGGGCACAACTGTGGCAACAACCCCAATTAAATTTAGAAACGAAAATGTATTAAAAATATACGAATTTATAAAATTTGATGACTTAACTTTGAATCGCCCGAAAAGCTATTCAGCCAGCAGATGTTGACCCAACAATATGTCACTCAACTTAGTTATACAGATATGTATATAATTTATATATACATCAACACATAAATCAGTATATCTATACAAAACATTCTATAATTATTTTATTTTTTATTTAACAATCATCAATATAATATATAATCATGAGAAAGGAATAAGATTTTTCAGACGAGAGTCCAAACATGCAAAGCCGGTTAGTTTTCACAGTAGTCTTTATATATTTCAATACGGTTAATTTCATATTTAATTGCGCCGATCTTTGAAGGACAGTCGCCTTAGTGGCGCACTACAGATTACTTTAACCTCGATGATAGATTTGCTTTAATTTCATGGCCTCTAATTACGCTTAATTAAAGCTATTAATTTATGTCCGCAATCTGTTTAATCAATCATGGAACTTTTCCGTCCTCGCTGTCAAAGGCGTCAGCAGCGGAGCGGGGCGACGGGGCAGAACATGTGTGTGGATTACAGCCAAGATAACTAAGTAGTGTACACGAGAAGCTGCTGGCAGGAGGAAGATATGAGCCAGTCACTTGTAGCCAGCATTCAAGCGAGCTAATGGACGGGAGTTAACAGCAACTAAAGCTTATAATAAGGCCGGGATAAAGGCGGAGAAAAGAGAAGCGCAGGAAGCGCTAGGACATTAGGCGACAATGGTGGTTGCCATTTTGTCTGCCTGATAAATGAAATGCGTTGATGGCGCTGTCTGGTGCAGACAGTACACTGCTAGAAATAGAGTTTTAAAAGGTAAGTCTGAGAAAATATATAGATTAATAATATATAATATTTAAACTAGCTAGAATCCCATACAAGGTTAGTACTTATAAATATTTAATCAACCTAAGTGTGATAAAAGATAAAATATGTTCTTTTTAATTTTTATCACATTTCAAATAAAGTTTTAAAAACAAATATTTTTGTTTTAATTTAAATTATTATTAATCAAAGGTCTTTATTCAAAATAGATAACAATAAAATCTATTATTTTTATAAAATATCACTTAGTAAGTGGAAATATATCAATACACAATATAACCAATACAAATACATTCACATTTTGTGCTTATAGTCTTTGAAAATATTTAACAGTATAAATAGCATATCCTATGATTTTATGATTTTTATAGAAGTTTATTAAACGTTTTACTAAGAGCCAAATAAGTTTTGTTAGTTAAAGCTATATATAAATCACTTCAAAAGTTCTCTGTATCTCCTCTTGTCTTGGAGTTGCTTTGAAACTTCGCCAATTTATTTCAGTGCAATTTGTTGGTTAGTTAGTTTTGAGCCTTTGTGCTTTAACTTAGCGCAACTTTGTCTGGTCCAGACGTTGATAATTGCGCCGTGATAGCTGCTAACTGTGACTATAGTAGCCGATTCGTAAACTTAAGTTAGTGAGCCTGAGCGGGAGAGCATGGGACAGAGTGGGGGAGAGAGAGTGTTACATTTGTTGAACACGCGCACAATGTATGTTTTACGATAGCTCGTAAATTCCGGAACTTGAAAGTATTCCCCATATGCGGCACACATGTCTGTGTCTGCATACCTCTGTCACTCTCCGCTCCCTCAATAGCTCTTTCTCTCTCCTGTCTCTCTCTCCTTTTGCCACCTAAAGCGCCCCACTTTCACTCATTGGCATTCATGCATCAGTCAGCTCGCTAACTCATTTTTCGTGCAGCCAGATACCCGCATCCAGCCTGCTGTAAGCATCCATGACAACATTTGCACGCACATTGTCATTGTTTATTATGCCAATTTCACTGGGAAGGCATTGTTTGGAGGGGCAGCCACAGCACGAACAGCAACAACTGGATCCCATATGCATTGAAACATTGACAAAACTCTGCTTCAAATACAAAAAAAAAAAATGTTCTACTAGGCTTATGTGACTTACTTACACAAGCTCTATAGCCAATTCGGCAAAATAACACAGGACATGTTACGGAATATTTGCAGGAGAGACCTACGACAGAATTTCAAAAATTCGAATTTCAAATTGTGCGTGCAGGCGGTGCGACTAGGAGTTAAGGTCGTAACAGAATGAATCTTGTTTCGATAGCAGTGCAAAATTTGTTTTGCTCT